AAAAAAAAAAAACACATCATTGTAAAATTAATACCTTCTCCGCTTCGCATCGAAGCTAAAACACATCATAGTAAAACCAATACCTTCTCAGCTTCGCATCGAAGCTAAAATGTATAAATATATAAAAAAAATTTTAATATAAACCTTGTTGTTTTGTAAACTTGATATTTCATTTCAATCATCTTCGAATTTGACTGGAAAAGTCACGCATAAAAAATCTTTCTTGTCAATTTTTGGCAAAGTATCTATTCCTTGAAAACATCTGTTTGTAGCCAATTCCACCAGATTGGAGAAGTAATACACAAGCTGAAAAAAGTATAAGCTTTAAAATGAAACAATCAAATATTTTTAAACATACTTTCATGTATGGATAATCGCTGACGATAATTTTCGATGTGTTTTCTAAACATTTACCCATTAACCCCGTACGACACATTTCGTGGAAAAACAAGAAATCCGGTGTTTTGATTGGGGGAAAATTATCGGTTTCTTTTCGACCACCATACGATTAATTGAAGTCTGAAGTATAACCTTTATTTCATGTACAATACGCGGACGTATATAAAACAATTGTCGATATATTTTTTCAAATAACATATCTTTAATGAAGTGAAATTGCGCAAACTTGGTGTATTTTCATCGAAAATACACGGCCGTCATGACGTTTTGATTGAAACAGTAATGCAACTCCCGGGTTGGCCTTCTCTATGTCAGACTCGCCTTGATGTATTCATCTTGCAAAAGTATTATTCCGTTTCAATTATCTGTTATTGATAAAATATATTCGCACATTGAATACATTCTATGTAGTAAATCGACAGTGATAATCAGTTCCTGATGATTGTTTACCAACATGACTTTTGGCCAAAATGAATCGTCCGGGTCCAGACCAATGTATACGCGAGACATTTGTGAAATTGTATACATTGATGAATCGATCAGATTCATGAGTCGTTGATTTTATTGAATTTACACCTTGGTGTAGTCATTGTGATTAAAGTCTCCAATAGACGTTACTGTCACTGCGGTTCGTATTCGTTGTCTTTTCAATTGTTTTGATTGAATCCAAAAGTTCGTAATATATTCGCTTCATAACTGAGCATACTCATTCAGGATTGACCGAATTTTTCCCCGCATCCGATAATTCATGACCTTCGTAATGTAAAAAGTCTCCACCTACACCGTTGACTTAATCGCCTAGACAATCCGCAAAATATTGCAAATCTCGATAATTTATCAATAATTTACTGACTGGTTTAAATACTTTATCCGTCGGATCGTTTTCAACAAGAAAATTTAATTTATCCGATATATCATTGAAATAATCCATCTTGCGCGCACAATATATTAACAAATACTGAAAACCGATTAATAGTCAGCAGACAATGTTGTTACTGTATGACACCATTCTTTCCAAACATCTGTTAGACAATTAATTCGCTCGTTAACCCTGCAGATATGCAGGGTAGCCGTGAGATAAGCCACTTTTAAAATGAACGAATAAGCGGTAGCGATCGAAGATAATTTCATAACGGGCGGGTGGGCCCGATAGCCTGGTAAGGCAACCACCTAGGTGAAGGCAACACCGAAAACAAATCCCCTAGCGGTAAGTAAAACGCAGGGAAGGACACCCGTAAAACCAAATATGGAAGCAAACCATTTAAATAAAACGGTTACCTTGGCCGCACAAGTAAAAGAGAAGACCGCTTCGGTCTTGTCCAGGGCGAAGCTAAGTCCACTCCCCTCCTGCTGGATCCAGGCGGAGACTGCGCTGAGCGCGCAGTTCGCACGAGATCCAGCCTCCTTCCGCCACCACCAGCGTGTCATCCGCGTAGCAGACGACGCGCACGTGCGGTGGTAGCGGAACACGGAACACCGCGTCGTACGCGATGTTCCACAGCAGAGACCCGAGAACTGACCCTTGCGTGACACCTCCCGTAACAGGTCTGGTTGGGTTGGAGTTTTTGTAAGTAATTATATGGACTATATGACGTAAAGTGTAAATCATATATGTAGTGCGTCTAATACCAAAATCAACATTGGATTATTTGAAATGTTATTTCATTACACAGGACGTAAGGTAAGTACAATTTAATCTATGCTCTCGAATCTCCAACAATCTATTGGGTAATAAACCATAAATAAAAATTAAATAGAAAAATGAATAATTAATAAGAGAAACAATTAATGTGTAAATTGTAATAAATATTATAGACATTTTATTTTAACTATAATTTAAAAATAAAAACCACATAATTAATATAACTATAACCCTTTATTTATTTATATTTTATTTAATTATTTACCTTTACCCCTATCATCTAACAAATTTATTTTTCATTCTTTTTATTCTTGGTTTATTACAAGTTTGATATTTATTATTGGTTTTATGTTTATTATGTCATCATTTTTCATATTAATCGTATCTACTAATAAAGTACTATAATGATCTGCGATACAAGATTCTAATATAAAAGGTTTGATGTTGTCAATACCAGTAGTTTTTACAAATATATGATCAATCGTTGTACGACTGTTAATAAGAATTCTAGTATAATCGTTTATAGAACTAATAAATCCTAACTGTTAATAATGTTATAGTTTATGTGTAATGAATCTGGAGTAGTTTTTGATAGCCATCATGTTCTCTTAATACATAGTAACAGTCAACATAAATATAAAAATTTAGACTTTATTTCTGAGACTATTTCTGATGTATTTTCATTTGATTTTGTAATTAATAAATATATAAGCACTATGATGTTTATTTTCAGTCTACATATTTTTAGTTGGGTTATTTGTAGTATCCTTTTAAAGTCATGACTGTTATGATAAAGAAATTTTCCTAATACAATTATATTTCTTTAATTTCTGTTTTTTTTAATAGGTAATGATACTATATAAAAAAACTTTTATATTTTAGTTCTTACTAATTATCTGAATTTTGAAGTCTTCAATTCCCGATTGTTTAATTAATTATTTAATACCTATTACTAGTATGACTTGCTTATGTTTCATTTCTATTGATCTAATGTATTTTTCAATGATTTTAATTGACGACATGGGAACAATGAAAGGATAAAACCTGTTATTTAAAAAAAACATTTTTATATATATATATTATACATATAAATATGTATATTTATATACATATATTCTTACCGCCGCTGCTAATATACAGAGTGTTCAGTAAGTAAGGAAACAAGTCAATTGTTACATACCATAAGAACAATAAAACCCGTTTCATTACTTACTGAACACCTTATATACTACAGGAAAGAATGTACTAACAAAAAAATTTTCTGTTAAATTATGATAACAAATGAAATTTTTTATGAATAAATGTATAATAATATTGTTTTAATTTAGATATCTAATATACCTATACATTTTTTTTAAAGAACCACATTTGTAGGATTACGTATATTCTGGAGGGCAAGTATTTCCTTCAGAGCGATAGTTACAGGATCGTGGTTGTAACTATACAGTGTAGTTACATAAACATTTCGAGCAATATGACAATCCACGAAAGCTTCAACACAATCATATATTATAAATTATTAAATATAGTAGGTAATTTTCTAAAAAAAAACTGCCTAAGTCAAACCTTGACCGTAATATTTTAACGTTATTGAATTTGTCTTAAATTTTACAGAGATAATTTTTAAAATAAAATAACTGGGCGTACAAAAATTGTCAAATTTCTGGCATTATAATATATGTATATATTTTTGTTACGTTCATTCATATGCAAATAAAAACAGATGGAGACATAACTGATTATTTTTTTAAATAAAATAGTATTAAAAATTTTTGTTTAATTTAGCTACAATTTATTTTTATACTATTTGTTCATCATTAGGTAATAAATAAATTAAATAAAATACTGATTCAAGTTTGAATAATTCAAACTTGTTATTAAGACAATTATTGTCTTAATAACAATCGTTAAATATGTTTCTTAATAAAAAGTATTTTTTTCTAATACTATTATATTTAATATATTGTATTACTAATCATATTATGAGTATTAATAAAATTAATTATTTCCAATTTCACAAAGGTTGGGATCATCAATTAATAGATAAAAATAAGATTGAGCATATAATTTAGAGCTTGGCGGGAAAAATTCCTTTTTTGTTATTGGAAATGGAGCACTCCTAGGTTTAAAACACTATTTACTCCAAGAAAATCCAAATAGTTAATACAAATTATTCAAATTTACTATCTCTCACATAAAGTTAACAAAAAAATACCCCTTTTCAGTGTTAAAAAAACATGTTTAAAAAGAAACTAAGTAAACCATCTAAATTTTCCAAAAGAAACAATTTCAATTTTCAAATTTTTTGGTGTTTTGGTGTTTTAATCACACAATGTTAAAAACGTAACAATCCTACACCTCCTCCCAATGTCACATACAAATATAGTTTGCACCTGTATACTCGGCTTATTTGCTAATTTTTAATTGTATGTAAAGTATGGAAATAAAAAACTTTATTAATATCATAATTAGTTTGAAATATATTTTGTAAAACTATTGTGTTTTTAATAAGAAGATAGATATAAAAAAATATATAGATAACTTACGAAAATGAAAATGGCAATAATACTAAATATTCAAGTGTACTTATGTATGTTTTTCGCTGTTTTATATATTGAAGGATTACATAATAAAAAAGAAAAAGCGGCTATCATAAATGATTTTCTACGTCAACCAGGATGGAAAAATTTAAATGATGTCGAATTTATTAGTTATTGGAAAAAAAAATATGAACTGAAAGATTTATTTATTGAACCTGTAAAAATGTATAATTGCGATAATTGCATACGGAAAGCAACGATATTCCTTGGATGTTCTTACTATCATGATTTAAAATTAATATTCTTATCATTAATTAAATTACAAGAACAATGTTCTGGTCTATTAAATTCTGGCGACGATAGTGTGCACAATTGTATAGTAACACTGTTAACAAAAATGATTGAAATGGTTTCCATGGCAAAATATATGAAAGGAGCTTTATATGCAATAGAAAAATACCATAACATTCCCTGGAACACCCTAAAAAGAAACCGTTTTATTTTAAGCAGCTTACTAACAAATATACAAGAAGATGGAACTTTATTGACTACGTTAAGAAACAGTTCGAATTCAATTAAAGATGTATTAGAAACAATCGCGAAAATATTATTCGCAAGACGTCTTGAACTTGATGAAGAAAAGTTATTTTGTCAACTAAAATATTTAGATTTTAATTCATTGTGCAATATATGGAATATGGAATTTAATAACTTAAAATATCAAGGAAAATACCATGAATTTTTCATTTTTCTTAGTGATAAAATTAGAAATTTAATCCTAACGACAATCATGAAAAAGTATATTGAACTTGGATTTAAATATGACTGGAACACAAGTCAGACTTTTTTACCTGCTCTACCACCTACCAATGTCAAGCAAGGTATAACTATTTATGAAATGTTATTTTTATTTAAAATAATTTGTGGTAAACATATTTAGATATCGCACAAAAGTTTACAATAAATTTTGTACAAAATACCAATGAAGTAAATGTACAAGAAGAAAATCAGCAAAATGGTAAAGTTTCCCTAATACTTGACACTATGCTTTTTTTTAATCTAAATAATTTTATATTGATCTAACAACCATTTTAATATCCTTCGATACTACATACCAATGTTGTAGAGAATAAACAAGGCATTCAACAAGAAAGTAATCATTTTATAGTACACTATAATACTTTTAGCTTCGATGCGATGTGTTGTGATTGCGATGTATGTGTGTTTTATGATGTGTTTTTTTTTTTTTTTTTGACTTTTACCACTTTTACTCAGCATTACCGAACGGATTTCTTTCAACGATACGTCAAAAGATCACTAATCGTATCTAGTTGAAGACATTACCCTCAAAAATTGAAAAAATTTCCCTCGTTCCCCGTATTTGGAGGAAACCTTCAAAAAAATAACAAATTGAAAAATCGCTAATTTTTGAAATTTTTTTTACTAAAAACTGCCTTAACTTTTTAAAAATAAACATATCAATATAATTTTTTTTTTTAGATGCGTGATATCTTTGTCTATCATTTGGTATATATTTTTTGTAAATCTACCTGCCCACAGGAGGGGATTTAAAATGAAAACTTTTTAACAAAAAATTAACTTTTTAAACTAAACTTTTGAAAATGTTCCGGAAGGTCTGAAACTTTTATATATATCTTAAATTAAAGCTATTGTAATATACTTTATTATGAAAAAAAATATTTTTTTATAATCCCTTTTTCATTTGACATACTTTATCTTAATCAGGATATTAATAAGGAACTAGCAGATCATGTAACTTTTGGAATAATACACCAATTTTTAGCTTCGATGAGAAGCTGAGAAGGTATTAATTTTACTATGATGTGTTTTTTTTTTTTTTTTTGTGTCTGTGTACGCTCAATCTCAGCTCTCACTCAACCGATTTTGATGAAAAATATGCCAAAAGATCACAAATCGTATCTAGTTGAAGACATTACCCTCAAAAATTGAAAAAAATTCCCTCGTTCCCCGTAAACGGGAGAAATCTCCCAAAAAATTACAAATTTAAAAATCGCTAATTTTCGATATTTTTTCATTTTTTTTTTTTTTAATTGCCATAACTTTTTTAAAAATGACCGAATCAATATAATTTTTTTTTTTTATAGATACCTTAAATATTTATCTATCATTTAATATATTTTTGTGAATATTTAACCCTTTAACAGCCCACAGGAAGGGTTTCAAAATGGTAACTTTTTTACAAAAAATTAACTTTTTCAACTTAACTTTTGAAAATGTTCCGGAAAGGTTTCAATATAAAAAATATTATTTTGATTTGTTAATATTTGAAAAAGTTATAGCAGTTTTAAGTACAAAAAACATCCTTATAGAAGGTGATTTTTATCGCAAGTATTACATTTTTTTTTAAATTTCGACAGCAATTTGCACATAGTAGATAAGGTGTCGGGAAAAATTTTTTTTTTTTATTTTATAGTATATAAAATAAGCTTTAATTTGATATATGTTTAAAGGACGCAGTCTTTCCGGAACATTTTCAAAAATTAAGTTGAAAAAGTTAGTTTTTGTAAAAAAGTTGCTATTTTAAATTCCCCCCAATGAGCAGGTTAAGTGTTAGATTTTCAAAAAAATGATATCCAATGAAAGGGAAATATCTAACGTTTTAGTATAAAAAAAAATTATGTTGATTTGTTTATTTTTAAAAAAGTTATGGAAGTTTTAAGAAAAAAAAACCCAGCACAGGGGGTCGCGGCACAGTGGTGACGTGACATAGTTGAATCAAGTATAATGATATCTGACAGTGATTAAAATCACTATTAAAACTAAACGCTTCGATGCAAATCTTTAGATAGTGTTTAATTTTAAAAAAATTGGTGTTTTATTCCAAAAGCTACTTGATCTGCTGGTTCCTTATTAATATCTCGATTAAGATAAAGTATGTCGAATGAAAAAGGGTTTATTAAAAAATATTATTTCTCATAAAAAAATTGTGTGGATCCATAAACTTTTCAATAAGTTATAGCATTATAAAGTTAAATATAATATAAATAATAAAATCGAGAATTTTCACACGAAAATAGCATTCGGTAGCCATTTTCGCCGTGAAGACAAGTCCAGAGGTCAAATTTTTTTTTTTCAAATTAAAGTATATTACATTAGCTTTAATTTAAGATATATATAAAAGTGTCAGACCTTCCGGAACATTTTCAAAAGTTAAGTTGAAAAAGTTAATTTTTTGTGAAAAAGTTGTCATTTTAAATCCCCCCCTGTGGGTAGAAAAAAGGTTGTAGCGTTACGCTACTGCTTTATCATTGGTTGACAGTTGCAAGAAAGTCCGCTGGACAGCGCTGTTCGACAACCCTTATTCAAAAAATGTAAATTAAAGTATTTATCTATTATTTTTTTTTATTATTTTTTATTATATTTATTGTAATGATTATTTTATATACCAGTCTTAGCGAGAACTCGAAAATAGGAAATTAGAATATTCTTTTTGTTTTTGGAAGGTTTTTAAAAATAAATAATATGTGGGCAATTGTGTTCTACACTACTCCGGTGGTGACGGGTAGCATAAAGTACACCGTCACTACGTGCATAATTATTCTCTAAAAAATTTTAATAGTTTTTTTTAGTTTTTCGTTTTACTAGTGTTTGCAATGGTCATTGCCTACTAGTTTTCATATAATAATTCATCATTCCATTTTGTCCATCGAGTAAGTTTTCTTTATTTTTTTCCTTATTACATATATAATTTTCAACGGTGTTCGTAACTAAACGTTACCAACCGTGATCAAAATTATATATTCTTTTCTTTAAAGGCTAGTCATAATCTTCAACGGTGATTATAACCATCGTGTTATCAACCGTGATCAAGATTGCTAGTCTTTCCTAAATATTCCTCTTTAATCCTTTGCAACGGTGCTCGTAATAAACGTTTTACCAACCGTGATCCAAAGGGTTAGATTCCACCACTTATACAATACAGTTCATCTTCAACGGTGATCATAACCTCCGTGTTATCAACCGTGATCGAGATAACTGTCTTTTTGTAAAAATCCCTTTAACCTTTTTGCAACGGTGTTTGTAACTACTCGTTACCAACCGTGATCCAGAGGGTTATACTTTTATTTCACCCCAAATTAAATAGTTTCTAAAATAAGACTGATATAGTAGTTAGTTTATTAATATATGTATATATTCATCTTTATATAAAAATAAATCAGAACAAATCGATTAGTCGAACAATTTGTGTTATATTTTTTTATATTTAAAGAGAACAAACGTAGAAACGTTTCAAGGTCAAATTTACAAAACAAATAATATCAAATGATAGGTAAAGACATCAAGCATCTATAAAAAAAAATTATATTGATATGTTCATTTTTGAAAAAGTTACTTTACATTTTAGTAAAAAAAATTGAAAAATTTCGAAAATTAGCGATTTTTAAATTTGTAATTTTTTTGGAGGTTTCCCCCATTTACGGGGAAATTTTTTCAATTTTGAAGGGTAATGTCTTCGACTAGATACGATTTGTGATCTTTTGACGTATTGTTGAAAGAAATCGGTACAGTGAGAGCTCAGAAAAAGTAGTGACAGACACAAAAAAAAAATAAATAAATAAACACATCATTGTAAAATTTATACCTTCTCTGCTTCGCATCGCAGCTAAAATGATTTTTAGTTTCACCTGAATTTAACGATGGATTTTTACAATTATAATCATATTTTATGATACGCTCAATTGAGTAAATCTTTTTAACAACTTTGTTTTGATTGGTTCATTTAGTTAAAGTAAATCATTAAAACTAATTAAGTTTTGAATATTTAAATTGCAGAATCTTTTCAAACACCAAAATTTTCTAGGAAATTATTACTATTACTTCTATTTAAGTCATCTATTACTATAAAAAAGAAAAAAAATATTGATCTTTTATGATAAATTTAAAATAAATAGTAATTATAAAATTTCCTGACTGCATATTAATCTTGACAATACAATTTTTTTAATTCACATAAAATTTTCTATTTAATGATGTCAATTTTAAACTTGCAATTAAGCTAAAAGTTATGGTAAAATAAATTATTTTTCTTTATTATAAACATTTACTGTTTATTACTATAAAAAAATGCACTGGACTACAAGGAACTTTCATTTAGAAGTACACTATAATACTTTTATTTTTTTGAGCTATTAAAATTAGGAATCAATATACTCATTCATAATACGTTGTTCATATTTTATAGAAAACCACAAAATGTACTCAGCGATTTGTACGAAAGTTAAAATAGCTTTAAAATAATAGAATAATTATTATTCTATACATTATTACTATAAATGCTTTAATTCTATTAACTGGTTGTAGACAATAAAATAAGTATAAATTAGAACTAGAAATTCAGCAACATGGTAAAGTTTCTCTAATTCTTGACAATACAATATTTTTTAGTTTAGATATATTTAAATTGATCTAACAACCATTTTAATATGTCTAGATCTTACAAAATATCCTTCGATACTACATACCAATGTTGTAGAGAATAAAGAAGGCAATCAACAAGAAAGTAATATTTTTACAATACACTATAATACTTTTATTTTTTTGTGCTATTAGAATTAGGAATCAATATACTCATCCATAATACGTTGTCCATATTTTATGGAAAACTACAAAATGTACTCAGCGATTTGTACGAAAGCTAAAACAGTTTTAAAATAATAGAATAAATTTTATTCTATACATTATTATTATAAATGCTTTAATTCTGTGATCTGGTTGTAGACAATAAAATAAGTATAAATTAGAATTAGAAATTCAGCAA